AAAAAATGAAAGCAAGATAAGAAAATGTTTTGATTTTTTTTTATTTATTAGTTCGAGAGAATTTATTATTGTATGGAAGTCAATAGAGGACAATTTGAACATTTGATTTAAAAATGCAGTTTTGATTTTTTTGATTGTAAGCATGATAAAACAATTAATTTTTTTTAAGAATGTAATTACACCGATGTAAAGAGGCTTCCAAGACCTTACAAATGAAGTCTCTTCCCTATTCAATTTTGAGGGGCTGAAGCGCCCCCTCATAGGGGGTTGCTCGTTCAAGCTTCAAATATACGTCAAAAGATGTCCCCCAAAGAAAATCATCCGACGTGTTTCGGGAAAATTTTTCAATTATTATGGAATAAGAAATATACGGGGTGGCTCGTCTGAGATGGAACACCCTGTACATTTTAACCATTTTTGTCTTTTATTAACGCGAAATTGCATATTTATAAATTTTGAGGATGATATTGATAAATAGAAATAAAAAAAAATATTTTTGTGTTTATCGATATCAGTATTTTGTAATTATTACATTTATTTTTTATTCGATATTTTTTCCGGTACCCTTTATGATGAGTATAAACCCCCACTGAATTTTATAGAGATATCTAATACATTATTGATAACAATTCCATGTTAAAAACAAAGAGTGATCCATAGAAAACGTTTCTAAAGTGACTGACAAAGCTGAGATACGTATATGTCGTATGTGCGTCATGACTTACATACATCGTGAACGATGCGCCGATGACTTTCTTGTGTAGACGTTTCCTGGCAATGTGTCAAATCGACAAATCGCTAAATTAGAGTGGGGTGGATTGTTGGAAATGAGTACCTGACTTAAGTAGACTAGTATTACTAGTACAATATTTTGGTTTCGCCATTGGCTTAAGCAGTCCTATCAGATGCGTGGGTTTGTGACATATAGGCACGGCTCTAAATTAAATCCTTACACTTAAAAAGAAGAAGAATTGTACGCTCAGACATGCATTACATTTTCTAAGGTCTTCTTTACAAACATTTTTGTAGATCACTGAATATAAACACAATATGATCATGATATAATAATGATTAATTTAAAATATTATAGTAGGTACCAAATTTGAAACTTTTTTATTGGTTTTAATTTAGGACTTTTTCGATTAGAGAAGGAATGCATAAAAAACTGCAACTATTCAGGTGGGGCATTATGCTCTTCTTAAAGGCAACTATTTGCCTCCTGAGAGCAATAACTATTAATTCCATTTAATCTTTTAATTTTCTTCTTTCAGTTTCCAAATTTAATTATTTATCTATCCAGTGTGTTCACAACTAAAAAAAAATAGTTCAAACCATTGGATATTTTAATTATGTTATTGATAATTGGGTCTTCATTTCATTTAACAATATTTCCAAAGTTTACAAATTTTCTGTATAAAAAATCTTATATTTTCCAAATTCCTGTTTATAATGTCGCAGCTTCATGTCGCAATCATCCTTAAAAGTTGTTGATAATACTGAGCTGTGATTGTTTTTATGTTTATTATTTTATTTTTATTTAAAGAAATTTTATGCGGTTCCATTAATACTCAATAAATCAGGATAGAAGTTATTAGTCTTGAATCAATTAGGTACAATTTTTGCGGAATTTTAGGAAGATACTTTTTCAATTTTAATGAAATTTTGACAATGCTAAATCTCTGACACCCAAATTCACAAAATGCTTAAGAGTAATGCATCTTCAAAAGAAATCTTACATTTAAAAAAAAAATAATTTTGAAAAACATTTATACTTGAAGTAATAAATCTTCTTGGCCCAGATTTTCAAAAAACAAACATTTATGGCGAAACTTATTAGCCCTTCTTGAACCAAACATAAAAAATTGTCTTAATAAACCTAACCTAATATATTATAAGTAATTTGTGTACCATTGACAAGGACAATTCATTTGGTCAATTTTTTTGAAAGTATTTTGTTTATGACTAAATTACATAGTTTTATGTGATCTTAATAAATATATTCCTAACGAAAGTAGATAACGTTTAGAGTTTCAGTATTAAAAAAAATCTTGAAAAATTTTCTATTAATTACTTAATTTACTTTTAATATTTCCTAAAATAAGTAAAGTTGAAAAGAGAATAAAAATAAAACTAGTATGACGATATATAATGCTCGGCATTCTATATTATACTTTTGACCGCCTCCTTAACACCATCAATTTTAATCAAAATTTTTTTTCAGAATCAATAGACTTCGTCCCTTTGTAGAGCTCGATGATTTTTCCTGAAGATTTCAACTTCATAACTGTTTTTCTGAGTTAGTTTTTTTATATTCAAGTCCCCTTTCATGTGATATCGCTTTTTGTTTTCGTTTTTAATTTAGGATTTCTTTTATTTTACTTTATTTTTGTTTGGCACACAAATTACGTCAGACCATAGCGTACTATACGTAGTCGTTGATAATTGGTTAGGTCATGAATTAGGACACTTGATGGGAAAAGTTAGCAAGTTTCCTAGTTTTAAGATTATTGTATGATACAAAATATAGGGTGGTTGATTAACTATGGGCTGCAAACTAAAATATGAATATTTAACCTAAAAATAATCCTAAAATGACGATTCTGCATTGCCGTAAAATTTAAAGAGGTAAAACTTCCTCTTACTTTGCCGCATGCCTTTGAGAATGGTTATAACGTCAGTTTTTTTCATTCTAATATGTCAAAATTCATACTGTGAAATTTCATAAACTAAATGAAAATTATTTTTTAAAATAAACCCTGTACCTTAGTTAGTAAGGGAGAATATTTTATGTAGGTTTTGTACATTAAATCTTCATATTTTAAGCCTAGGGTTCTCCTGATAATTTATGGCCCATTATTAAACGGCCTATAAATAAATGAAGTGTTGTGCACTTAACGACTATAAAATTATCTAAAATTAGTTTAATATTCGTTTTATGACATGAAAATATATGAGACTGTAAATTAGAGACAAGTTTTGCCTTAATGTATTTTCAAATCCAACCCTGTGCTTTGATAGAACAATATATATAATTTATCATTTGGCAGTATTATGATCTAGCATTCTTGTCATCTGTCATTCTTGTCATCTGCCAATCTTGTCATTCGCCATTCTTATCATGTGCCGTTCTTGTCATGTGCCGTTCTTGTCATGTGCCGTTCTTGTCATCTGCCATTCCAGTCATCTGCCATTCCAGTCATCTGCCATTCAAGTCATCTGCCATTCAAGTCATCTGCCATACTTATCATCTGCCATTCTTGTCATCTATCAGTTAATAAATATAATATAAACAATATACAGTCACATTAAATTTGTAGCCGAATTATCTATTGTCAGTTATACAGTGTTTGAAGAAAAAGAGTGGTGTTATGATTGAAATCCGAGATTACAGCATTGTAATAATAATATTTGGTCAAAAAGTACCCTCATCAAAATAACCGCAAAAATTTGTCAAAAATGCTTTCTGTGTCATTTAACATTTTCGTTGAATGCTCATCGGTGTTAAATGCTTCTTGACTGATAAATTGATAGCTGAATGGTATCACATAATATTCCTCGTACTATTTACCGTTTAAATAATTTTTGTGCATGCTGCTCGATGTGCAGAATCTCTTAGCTGTTATTTTCTATTACTTTTTTTTTGAACAGTTCTCCTAATAGTACAGTTAATTTTTTTAAGGTTCTTGGAATATAGTTAATTTTATTTAAAATACTAAAGTGGATAAAATACAATTCTGAGACAGCAGCTTTGAGCTTCAGACTTAAGTTGTTTTCCTGAAATAACATCATGGTTAGAACTTCAGTAAAAGGGAATGATTTACAAGTTTCTAGATATCTAACACAGCAGAATTGCTAAAGGGCTGCTGCTCATTGAAACATTTACAAGTCATGGTATTACTTCATAGTTTCACTACGTGTATAGGATGTTTGTCATATTTCTGACCGAGACGTATGGAGCAAGGATATACCATTCCTTTTGGCTAACTATGTACTGTAACACTGATGGCTCCAAAGCAACCAAATGAGTAGGATCAGATAACAGATAGCCCAGAGTTGACATATCAACGTTCACTACAATCTTCTAAAGGGTAGAGATTTTTGCAATATAATTAGTTACAATAGATCAGACAAAATTATGAAGGCTTGGCACAGTATTGAATCTTTAGAGTATTCAGAACAAAGAGACTTTGATTATAGAAGATAACATGCTTGCTAATAGTCAAACTGAATAATTTCTTATCATTGTAACGAGTCAGCAATTACCTTAAATTTGATAAAAGATAAAAATTCCTATGCGTTTTTTGACATGTTAAAACTACACGAAGGATATACTCGTAATCTGCTTCAAACATTGGTCTGCAGCATGGAAGACGAATAACCATTATGGTCCACTTTGAAAGGAATTAGGTCAAACGAATTTCATTGAACTGAAACTTAATCTAATTTAGAAGATAGGAATTATAAAATTTGTCACGAGCTATATGTGATGAGGGGTCGTTATTTCAAACCTAACTTCACCTAATATTGTGGTAAAACAAATTTGTTCCACATGGCTTAAACTGTTTGATTTATCCAGAATATAGGTTTATATTGCAAGTGAACTTCGTTAGTTGCGTTTTGTTTAATTGTGCGGTAGCTATTAATTGTGACATATATTTTCATAATTTTATAGATTTGGAATATAAGATTGTTTGGACAACCATTTGGATAAATGAAATTTAAACTATATTCCAAAAATTTAAACGTTGCTGTACCGTTACTGCGATCTGTTGAATGCTGAATGCCCGTTTTCGATTTTCTTCCTCTTTTTCTAATTCTGTGTTCATAATGAGTGGTCATGATTGTCGAAACGAATTGTGTGAGGGGGCTGCAAGAGAGCCCTCGGATAAACTGCTTGAATAGGAACTTTTGAGATGGTCCTTTTTTGTCTAAGTACAATACTAATTGTTTATTATTTTTCTTCATATGTCCACGTCGCGTCGATCCGTTGCTGCTTGCAGGACTTTGAGGTATATTATACAAAATTGGTCTAGAGTTTTTTTGATCGTTAGTTTTTAGTGAATAGTCTTTGTTTAGAATAGTTGCTTTCCTGTAGAATTCAGCTAATGCATCTTTAAAATGTGTTCACTATTGGCACCAAACGCGTTTTCTTAAAAATATGAGTGGCACGTTTATATAATACATTTCTACTCGTGTCGTATAAACGTTGTGTTCGATTCTCCGTAGTCACACTCTTGAATTTTTTATTGTCCAAACTTCACCTCTGTTCACGATCTAACTCTCTTAAAAACTAATAATTAGAACTGAACTAACCGAATTCAGTGTTGCGCATAAGTGTAGCCAACCTAGCTGCTTACCTCTGCGGGTCAAGACCGCATGGCAACTAACACACAATTATTGCACTAGTTATTAACACTATTTTAACACACTAATACACCTCATATTATACACTTTTAATTAGTTATTACAATGTAGGTTCATATCTATCAAACCATCTCTAAAGTTGCCTAGGGCATGATGGCTTTTGCGCATGTACTGTCTGCTTTTTTGCTTTTACATTTTCTAGAATATTAAAATTTGTGTCTTAGATATCTTTAGAAGTGGCTTGTTTTGTTCACGAATTGATTTTTGGTGAACAACACCAGCGACAGTCTACGGTCCCACCGCATGATTTATATGTTCATTAGTTATTTTATCCAAACACGATTTTAATGGAAGATTACATATATAAAGTCATACATAACTACATAGCGGCCTGTTTGCCTTGCAAAATAGTACCGCAAGTACCCTTAATTAGAGCAATTAATTGAATTTTTTAAACAATTTTGTTCATATGAAGTAATTAAAGTTCTATCTCAAAAACAATAATCTAAAGAACTTGGTATAAATAGGTGTCACTTCTCAGTTCGTCGCAATATCTGGCAGCCATGTAAAAATAGTAATTTTTCGTTACTTATTTAGGCCAATCGAAAATATGTTTTGTATATTAAATTGAAGCAATTTTTCCCCTGCATTATAGAATTTGGTTGCCTGATTAAAAGCTGCCACAACTGAGGTTTTGAACATTTGAATGATCTTCTTATACAGTGAGGACGTTAATTGTGCCTCCCGCTCGTAACTTCTAAATGGAAGAAGATAGAGACATGAAACAAAAACAATGTGAAATAAGAGATATATTATGATAGTCTTGTTATAGCCTGATCCATTTTACTTAAGATATAAGATATAAGGCATTACTATTTTTTAATTTTCCAATGGAAAGTAGGGTCGTGTGATAACTCATTTGAAGCATATTTTCAATATTTTTACGTTCATGCAAACAGTATTAGGTTTTTAACAAAACACAACCTGAACAAATCCAACCAAAAGAACGTTACATTTTCCTATCACTACCCATTTAATCCTTTGTTTCTTCTTTTATTCTCAGTTCATCAAGGTTTATTATTAAATTTTAGTTTATTTTCTTTTGTCACTTGACATTTCTCAACAATACTTTGTAGTTAAGTTCGAATTCAGTTTGCTGATAGTCCTGGACCGATACCCTGATATCACTACCTTTACCTACAAAAATTTTTTTATTTTTATAAATTTGCTTACCTCTATATACTAATTGTATCGAGTGGTTAATATACCAACCCATCAATATTATCATGGTTTTGTTGTTTGACAATCCCTTTTTAACGATCTGATCTCTTATGTGTTACTTAGGTACTACTAATTCTTCTACTACCGTTTTTACGCTCACGTTACTTGTCAATCTTTTTACTTGCTTCCGGTCATGCTAACGGCCATCTTATATCACTTTCTAGTACCGCAACATACCATACACGTACTTTTTCAACCGTAATTTCCCAGTTTAGGATATACAAATTGTGCTTGTGCGAGTTAAATTTAAATATAAGTTACATCTCCTGATACATGGACTTTATCCATCAGGATGTTGGCCCCGATGTGCCTTTCTGTTGAGACTCTAGGTTCTGGAATCTTTTCTTATTGCGGGTCACCGCTACACACCCTCGTGCTCGGTTCAACAGGACACCGTTTTCTGACTTTACCTTTGCTACAGGGGTTGCTACACACGTTCGTTGCCAACGACTCCCATTCTTAAGGCCTTTCCTATCTGTTTCTCATAATTTGTATGAGGAAGCATCCCCATTTAGTACGGTGGACAGAACGCTTATCTTGGAACACTAATCTTGGAATAGGATTTACGAAATTTAAAACCACAATTAAGCCCTTATCAAGAGCTCAACAGTCGGCTTAGCCGGATGTCCCCTTTTTAGTCTATTTGTCCAGTCCTTTTACTATGTAAGTACCATATTATTTAATTATTTTATTCATATTCACTTGCTTAGTTACTCTCAAACTATTAAGATTTATCTCATATTGGTTGATATATTATTAATTAATATTATGTTTTATTGTCAAATTAAATTTTAACATTTAATACCTTAATTAAATATGGCTTCACCATTTAACTTAAAACTTTTCACATATTTCTATCTGTTATAACTTTTATTGCTACATATAAATTAAAATATTTGTAACATTAGATTGTAATTTGCCACAAATTATTCAAAAGAATTTTTTGTTTGAAGTATTTGCTCTTACTTAACATTTGTCAAAATTTCCCTTTTTTAACACCCCTTTTTACATTGTCATTAATTGTTAAAAAACCTTTACATTGTTATAGTCTCATTAACTCTTTAAGTACTAAGTTAGTAGTAACCTGATAGTTTTATCACATGTTAATTTTTTTTTTTAATTTTAAATTCCAATTCTCATTTATCACTTAACCCAGTAATTGTTATATAATTTTGTTTCACTTGTATCAAATTTAGTCTTATCAAATACTTTCTTACATGCCTGATGATGGTCATTGACCGAAACTAGTCGCTTTCCCTGTTTTCGAAACAATAAATAATTTTTGTGGTTTAGACTTAGAGTTTTTCCTTTTCTTTACGGCTATACCACATTTGAGATAAACTTCTTATTAACAACCTGATTCCATCAACGATTTAAGCGTTCGAATTTCATAACCCCAGAAATTCTAGACAATGTTAAAAGATAATTTTCTAATAGGCTTTTTGATTGCCAAGAAGTTATAGGAGAACATTTTGAACATTTAATACTTTAAGTGGTTATTAGATCACCTTTGAGATTCTTAATTTATTTATTTAAGTAAATATTGTATTTCTTTAATTTGTAAAAAAACAGTTACTTAGTAATAAACAATAAGAGTAAATACGAGGGTTGTCAAGAATGTAACTTGCTTCATTAATTTATTTAATGTAATTTCTGTAAAAACATCTAAAACTGTTTGCATGAACGTAAACATATTCAAAATATCTTTCAAATGAGGTATCACATGATTCAACTTTCCATTAGAAAATTTAAAGATATTAACACCCTTTATCTTACGTCTCGTTATAACAAAAATCTCATAATATCTGTCTATTATCACCTAGTTTTTTTTCACTATCTTTTTCCATTTAAAAGTTAAGAGGGGGGATACAAATTACGTCCTCACTGTATATTATATTTTAATTCAATTATTAAGAGGATCATGTTTGGTAATTAGTATTACCTCATAGAAAGTCCCAGTTTTGAACCTTAGCACCTTAATAAATTTTCGCCATCTTGAATAAAGGCTTTTCCATTGTTTAAATAAAAACGGTCATGATATTTTCAATAAAAAAGAGCCAGAAATACCTATTTGATAGCATCTTATGGAGGAAATCCTGCCAAAGTCGTTTAATTCATATAAGATTCAAATGCTTCGCAATGTCTTCAGAAAAGAGTTTATGCTTTCCAAGAGAAGAAACAGTGAAGTATTACGCAAAAAGATCGTGTAGTATCAAGTCCAACAATGATTGGACATGAACAAAAAGTCAAAACAATTGGGGATGGAATAAAAAAAAGGTGGAATATCTGACTTCTTCGATGAAGCTGCAGCGCACCACAGTTGCTGTTTATACACTGAAAAAAAATTTGTTTTCGGAAAGCTTTTTTAGACAGATTTTTGCCGGCATTGCTGTGGAGAGATTTGTAAGAATGCCCCTTAGAAACAGCCGATTACCGAAGATGATTCTAAGAACGAAGACAAGGACATATTTAAATAAATTCAGATTGTGTTGTTGTCTTCAGCCCCCTAAAACTACCCGTCCCATTGACGAAACTTCCGCAGAAACTAACTAGAATTTTTCTATTGTAGATTTTATGCAATTTAGAAAAAAACTCTGTTTAGCCTTTTCCTGTGAAGAAGTTTTTTACATACTAACATACTGTCAATATTTTTGAAGTGTTTGGGTTTCAGATGCCTCGTTTTAAAAAAGAATAGTTATATTTTGTGATGTTATGTCAACTAAACCTAGTACTGTCTCTAAAAATGTACATTTCATTTCTTTATTCCTTCTAATAATTATCAGAATATAGTGCAGTATATTTTGGACGAGTATTATATTTATCATATACTCGTACAAATCCTAAAATAAGTTACAGGATGCAAGTATTGAATGAATGTAAAAAAGTGCGTTTGCTTCATTTTGATAGTAATTGCCACGCTGGATCCCTATTTTTCTTTTTTGCCTCTACCATAGGCAACCAAAGTCCATTATGTGGAGAAAAACTTAACTTTAATTTCGTGTATTTTTTTGTAGATGCTTAATGGAAAAGAATCTGAGACAGGTGAAAAACTATTTATTTTTTAAATCGTCTCTGAAATTTAAATCAAAACTGCTTAAGGGTAATTGCGTTAAAATTTGCAAGGCAACTTGGTTGTGTTAAATATATGTCATGTACCATTAAAATTAAATTTCAGTAAAATAAGAGATGAAGGTATAAAACACGCAGCGGTATTTCATATAATCTAACATTAGTGTAAAAAGTTGTGTCGAATCATTTATAATATTAATTTTTTAATAATTCTGGTTTTATATCTTAATTTTTCTACTACACGTAGGTATATTAAAAGTACAAAATAACAGACACACAAATCGTTCATGGTCCATATTTTACAATTGATGTCTAATTGCTTGAAACCGAAGATCATAGCAAGTTGATTCTTTTAGATGAAGAATTTATCATTGATTTATTAAAATCTATTCATGTCTTGGTATAAATAATACGTTTTCAAATACCAACTAACTTGAACTCTTATGGATGTGCACAAGTAAATACGTGCTCGAATTTATTGGGTAATGCAAAATATTGGATTAGTGATGGAACGTGGTAGTTTATGAACTTTGGAAACGATGTTTTGAGAACAGAGATCATTTAACGAATTCAGTAATCATCAAGGTAAACGAAACTGATGGGAAGTAATGTGATTATGCCATGAAGTACAGTGATTAAGAGAGGAGAGGCGACTTCCGCTAAAAAATCTTTACTAAAACCACAATCACTCAAAATGACTATATCAATTAGTCAAGGATCACATCCAAAAATACTCAGTTAAGCTCAGGAAGAGGAAACGACGACCGTGGTTAGAACTTCACATCAAATCATTTTAAGTTGTATCTAATTTATATGGTTCGTTGTAGAATTTGTTGAGGATCATATCAACAGTAACTTAATTTTTGTTGATACCAAATCCAGATTTCAAACGCACTGGTCTATAATATCAATGATGGTGGGTAGGTTTTGCTGGGTTTTCCTTACCTGCAAGTCAAATGGCACTTATCAATATACATATAAGGTAAAAATCTTAAATAGCAAGGAATCAAAAATATTATAATTATTAATATTTTAATTTGTTTTATTTTATTACCACAAAAACCCTTATAGTTCCTGCTATTTGTAGTTGGGTAGAGAGGAGGGGGTAAACAAAATATACTATGTCCGGGTGGTGGAAGCGGTCATGTAACCTGTGAAATTTAAAGTAAATTCGCTTGTGTGTATATTTTTCCTTTCTTTCTGGCTATGAAATATATGCTTAGTAAATGCAGTTGCGGCTCGTCACTTGTGTAATAGGGAGAACTGAGTATAACGGCACCAAAAAATTAATACTAAATAGTATTTAAACTTAAGCGGCTAAATAAGAGGCTTTTTAATTCCGTTACTTTCATGATAAATAATTATTACGAAGAGAAATAAACACCACACTAGATCAATATAGCAAAACAAACCACAAAGCGTCCGTAATCATATGGCAACCGTCCAGCGATTTGCTATGGGCCTGGTACTACGCCGATACAATAATTATAGCGTGCATTTATTATGATAAAGAAAAACCGTATTATTCCTCGTATTGTACAGGTCGGGCTCGTCCGCAGCTAATTAAATTGTTCGCTCACAAACTTTATTATTGCATTTATTTGTGTTTGACGCTTTTATTGTTAATAAATTTAGGAGGATTTAAATAAAATTACTGACTAAGTACCTATATAGAAATACTAATTTGTAGGTGACTCCTGCTACTTCGCAGGAAGGGCATCGCCCCAGCGCTTTCCCTCACCAGCCACCACTGCTTAGATGCCAATACCAATAACAATAAAAAAAATCCCTTTGCAAGCGTTTTCTGTCGTCCGGTTTTACTAATTCCGGTGTAAATATTTTACCTTAAAAAAAAATCGTTTTTCAGCATCGAGCATGTTTTCTGTGATTGAGAAAGAATCGATATGTAAACAATTGTAACCTGACGAAACTCGAAATTAGAACAGTGGTTTATTGTCCTCAAAATGTTTGTACGTCACTTAACTAAGAGTATTGTCGTTGCAAGCATTTTTTATTCAGCAGTTCTACCCCATTCAGTCTTCATCCGGTTTTCGATAAAAAATATTAGAATAGTCTAATTTAATAAAAAAGGCTTCCGATTTTCGCCAAGTTACATTTTTTTGCATATCAACCCTTTTGCAGACTAAAAAAATACTTGCAATATCATCTTAGATTTAGAAAAACCGTGCCCCAATTTTGTTTTTAAAGGTACGATAACGTCGGTCATGTACCCGGAATTCCTACACCGACAGTAGCAAAACCAGGCGCAAAAAATGCTTAAAAATTATTATTTTAATGTTATTGCCAGCAAAAAAGAAAAAAGTCCATCGATAAGCAATTTTATTTTGAATTCCACAGTCACATGACCTCTCCCATTACCTAAAGGGACATAGTATATATTGGTCACCTCCTCCTGTACCCAACTACAAATAGCAAACAAAAAATACGATATATCACTTTTTTGCAGACAGATGAGGGACTATTACTGTGATTATTATTGAATTCAGACCATTAAATAAAAAAACACAATGTATATAGGTATTTTAGATTGAGAATTTGCATTTTAGACCCAAAATAAACATAAGATGTTTAGAATTTGAAAAGGCGTTTTAGACAATATACAGTTTTATTTTATTTTAAAATGTCTGTATTCATATTTAAACCTTGTATAAATAAATAAACAGAAGCCTTAAATTTACAGTTATATATTTTAAACTATTATTAATAAAGAAAATAAATCAGGAACATGTGTTATAAACTCTAAAATGTTTTGAAAATATTTTTTAATGGAAAAAAAATGGTGCTACTGTACTTTAAGTTTCAAGTATACTTTAAAAGGAAAAGCCGATGATTTAAATAAAAAAATAGAACGAAATAAGAAATTTAATGTTTTCGTTAAAGATACAATATTTGTTTTTTAAAATTGCTCAAATTAAGACACAACTTTTAATATTAAAATACATTATTTCAGACACAATTTTAATGTGAACTTTGATATTTGCAGTTTTTCGTTAGGATAGTACACATCAGAAAGTGCTTTACTCAAAAGTCCAACATTTTTGTATTGGAGGAGTTCAGTAAGTATTTTTGGAAAACATTTATGTTAACTTTCGTTGTAACCTAAAAATAATTATTAATTTAATAATGTCCATTTGTTTGATTACTTTATTTTAGATCCAAAAACGCGACAAGTCATTCAGAGGAAATATAAATCGCCCATGGTGAGTTTTAAAATTATTATTTATTGTATGAACATTTTCTGTGATGTTGGTATATTGTTTTATTTTGTGATGATCAGAAACTTTTTGATAATACATAGAACCAAAATATTATTGTAATCAAGCTTAAAACCTATTCCACACCATTCTATCTGCAACAAAACATGTTTTTATTTAATTATGTTGATAAACATAATACAAAGGGTGATCTATTAGTGAAATTTAGTGCCGATGCACTACTGTTTTCAATTTTAGCAAATATGTACACGATGAGTCAAAACTTAAATACATAATTTTCCAATTTTTTTAAATTGACTACCCTGTATTTTATATCATCATTCAAAACTGGTCTGTTTGTTAATTAGTAATTAGATTTTAACCTGCTTTAATTTATTGTCTACTGAATAAGTTAACTGCACACTAACGATACTTAGGTTAAGTGTGAAAATATGACGTTCTAATTTATTTATAATTTTAAGATGATTTAAAAAATTAAAGTTTAAAATGTATAAAAGTACAATTTAAATTATTTGCATTAAAAAAAATATATGTAGGTAATGTAAATTACGCTAAAGAGCCATTTTTGTGCATGTTAGTTCAGAGACGATGATTTTTTTAAAAGGCAAAACGATTAATCACATTATTGGGCTCAATTACTAGTTATGTCTTCATGAAAGTGTAAAAGTTTATCGTTGCTTTGGTCCATGACTTCAACTGTCGCAATGAGGAAAAAGATCTCTCAGCACTGGTGTTGCTTGTCAGCAAAGTACACAGAACTTGGAGAAACATATGAATGGTTAAGTTAATGCCTTTGTCGCCACCATTTAAGACATCTGTTGCTGGTTTACGAAGAGTTTTTGTAACAATACTTGCTTCACTTTGCCTCTTCTGTTGCCATTGACCCATTTCTCATTTAAGCTTCATTATTTGCAAATGAAAATCTACTGCAGAGGCACTAAATGATTTATTCAACTCCACGTTTGCAGATTTCTAAATAGACTAACTAGACTGTAGCCTACGGCGGCAAATTTTCGAAGGGCCAAATTTTTTTCGTGAGCATTAAAAAATTATTTTAAATTTCTGTAAGAAATCTACAACTTTTTGACATCGACGATGCGTTGGGAGAAACTGAAAAAAGAACGAAAAATAACTACAAATAGTCTATCGTCCACGAGATGGTCATGCAGATGTTTTATTGATGTATTGGAAAAATATCTATTAATCCCAAATGATAATTCAGAAAAGGTGATTATGATTATTTTGAATAGCATCATTGTATTCAGTAAAAAAACTAAACTCCTTAATTTAATTTATTTCATCTTCTTGTGAAAACTTTACAATCTACGAAGAGGAGGCCAAGGCGCTGATTGATAAGAAGAATTACACTGAATGCGAAAAGAGTTTCAGAAAGAAAAAGCGACCTAAGAGGGATTTCAAAATAAATGGTTTTCTTACAATTAAAGCGTTAAAATTAGCTACTTGAGGTTTACTCACAGGATATTTCTGACGATCTAGTTGAAGAGATCTTGCATCTCAAAGAGTATTTGGCACTAAAACACGATACACAGACTAACGGTATGTTCCTGCGCATGCAGCTAACTGATAGTGACGTCACGTGCATAAGCATTAAATGGGAGATAGTGTTTAAAATTCCATATTTTGCCAATTTTAGATTTTATGCAGTTACTTAGGCTTTATTGGTTATTTTATAATATATTCGTTTACAAATATGAAGGTTTAAGGAAAATAATACTAATAAAAAATATTAATTTTTCTCATAAATTATAGGTATTATGTGATAAAATCCATAACCTGGCCATAAGATAAGTAAAACATATAGACTAAAAATACAAGTTTGACTGAAACTTGTATTTTCGGAGCGTGGTAGTTCTCTTGCAATCTCTTTTCTTATTATTTAAAATAAAAATAAGTGGGCAGAAACAAATTATTTATTTATAAAAAGTAAATACACAAAAAAATTCTTTTTTTTTTTTCGGTAAATTTAAACATTTTTTGTCAAGTTTACTTTGAAAATACTCAAAACCAATTTTTCTGTTTATTTATCTTATTCTTATATATGTTCGTGACCTGCTCATGCATGGCATTACTTCAAAAGGACCGTTGTATTGGGACAGGAAACTACTGTTTTATCTGCTAAAATTTTAAAATACCGATTTATTTTCTTTGCTTAATGAGGCCCGTGAACCTGGTGGAATGCAGTTTCCTTTTCTTGCGTCTATGTTTAAGAGGAATCTCACAACTACTTTCCTCAAAGTGGATAGGGCAACTTCAATTAAGTTTGTCCTTTCTTCGATAAGAATTTACCCATATTTCGTGGCATTCGGAAATATCTCCACCGCGCCGCCTGGCATTTTAAACATTAATTTAGTTCTTCCCTGTTATACAGGGTCATTCTATATGGGCGGAACACTTGATTTATGGCTTAACTATGACTTGTACGATAATTTGACTTAGATAAAAGTTTTTATACATTTTATGTACTATTTATTGACGTTTACAGATTTCCCGCATACGTAATGATTTTCAAGATATGACGTCAATATTTAAAATAGATCATCCTGTATTTATATTTTTTTTCGAGTTCGTATGATCTGTCTGATTTCATCAATGGTACATTAAGTGGGTCGCCGATTTGTTTAATGCTACATTTCCTGACAGGATATCTCTAATTCCTAAGTCGACAGTTTATCGAAATTTACGCAAGTTTAACGAAACAGGTAGTGTCAAAAATATTCCTGGTAGTGGACGAAAGAGGACAGCTACAAATGAGGAGAAACCACTTGATGTACTTCTAAATGATCATGAAGAACCTAAAACTTCCATAGCAAAACTTGCATTAAATAATGATATTAGCCAGAGTTCTGTAAGAAGGATACTGATAAAATATCATTTTTATCCGTATAAAGTTCAATTACATCAAGAATTAAAAAATGAAGATGATCCTGATCGACGAATGTAGTTTTGCCAAGAAATGATGGATCGAATGGGAACAATATTATGAATAATATTGTGTTTTCCGACGAATCAACGTTTTGTCTAAACGGATTTGTCAATCGGCATAATTGCCGGTATTGGTCTGATCAGAATCCACACTGGATGATAGAAGGTCACACATAATATCCACAAAAGCTAAACGTTTGGGCTGGTATAGTTGGAGGAAGAATAATTGGACCTTTTTTCTGAGACAAACTTTAAATGGTGATCGCTATTTACAACTTCTGCGAGAACAAATAGTTTAAGAATTATTCCGTATATTTCCCAATCGTGCTAATCATTTACAATTGTCAGAGGAAATATGGTTCCAGCAAGATGGCGCCCCAACTCATTTCGATGTTAGGGTTAAGGAATACCTCAACACAATATTTCCGCAGAGATGGATAGGCCGAAGATTAATGGAATCGTATGATGACGATGTGTTTAAAATTTTCATTGAGAATTAATTCAGACGAAAAGTGTAATGCGAGTAAAAGGAAATGCCATTTGTATTAAGTCTATAATTCTTGTATGTAAATATGTGTTATAGTACTTATATGAGTATTTGTTTTTTTTTCTATTGGAATAAAGTTTTTGTTGCATTTTATGCGATTCTAATAAACTTTCACATAATTTTAAAACCTATTTTAAGGATTAAAAAAATGGGTATACCATAGGCGGTGATTTGGTTTATCCTATAGGCGGCGCATTTGTAAATCCGTCTCTGTTATTACAATGAATTCAGAAAGTAATAAGTGCAATTTCAAGGCTACCAAAACATCTTTTGAAAATCTTGTTTTCAAATCTGCACATATATTGTTTTCCATTTATCCAAGAATGCACCCTTTCCGCACTATTTGTGCTTTAATTAGATTTTCTGGTTATTTAGTATTTTAACATTTGAAACATTAATTTATCGATTTTCTGTTGATACTTGTTTTGCAGTAAAATAAAGATTTACATTACATTATTAAATACACTTCCATTATATTTCTTATAATATTTGAGAAGGAAAGTCATCCAAGAAGTCGACACACATCTCTAAGAATTTTCAAATAACATTTGAACGTATTCACTTATTCACGGTATTTTTAAAAACACATATTGCAAAACTTATGACATTAATAATACCGAATTGTCAGAGTTTTATAAATTAAACTTACAAATATAATAAACGAAGTATTTATTTTTTTAATGAATGTAAAAGTAGCACTAGAAATTATCTAAAACTTATTCAGTCGATAATGAATTACACCTGGTTTTATTTTTGTTACTAATCAACAAACAAAATATTTCCTAAACCAGTGACCAGTTAAAATTAAAGTATCTTAATTATAATATTAAAAAAACATATTTATTTTAATTAATTTAAGGAGGTCCTTTCGCCACCAATGTTAAATAAAAAATATTAGATTATGACTAAAATTAATTTTTTTCTAATAGTAGATGTCCTTATTTATCTAATAGTGAACTTTTAACTATACCTTACCGTGCAAATTTTTGAGAAAACTTTTTTTTTAAAAATGTGTGTGTTTGTACAGTGTCTTATGAGAAAGTAAGACTTCAACAACAATTTTTGAATTATAGTTAATTTTACTATTATTTATTGATTAGATGGAGTAGAAAAAAACTAAAAATAAGGTTTTTGAAATATTTAGGTTTTGTTTTTTACAATAAAATATATAGGTTACCGTGGAATTTATTGAGAAATTATTATTAAAAAATCACAAAATATTTTCAACTAGGTTACTTGAAAATTTTTTGTGATTTTTTAATATTAATTTCTCAATAAGTTCCACGGTTTACTATATATATTTTATTGTATAAAACAAAATCTAAATATTTCAAAAACCTTATTTTTAGTTTTCTTCTACCCCATCTAATCAATAAATAATAGTATAATTCGAGAATTGTTGTTGAGGACTTACTTTCTCGTGACAAATACAAAAAAAATCTCAAAAATTTGCAAGGTAAGGTATAGTTAAAAGTTCAGTATTAGATAAATAAGG